GTATCATGGTCCGACTGAACTTGAGGGTCGTCTAGGGGACGCCTCTCTTCAGGGATCGGTACAGACTTGGATGCCATCTCAGAAGTACTCTCCCCACAGACGGCGCCAAATGTTTCGGGGTTTTCTGATGTCCTGCGGGAGAGTTACAATTCCGAGACTGGAACCGGACGCCTATACCTGCAAAATAACGGAGACTCCTGGTGGTGGGAGCTCCGCCTCCAACGGTCAAGTTAGTACTTGATTAAGGAGTAATTAATGCGGAAATTAAAGTGATTGGGTCTCTCTATGTGAGAGTGTTTAATGTAGGTAATCTGCTTTGTTAGCGAGATCAACCGGTTATTACTGTGTGTAATTAATGTGTTTTTTCGTAATCCCCCTTAATGAGGATTAAGGGAGGTATTTATAACCTTGGGAAACGTGCCCATCCTAGGTTTAGGTTAACCTAGGGCTGATTGGGCTTCCCTCGGAAGTTGGGCCTGGGTGGCCGGTTTCTCCATTAGGCATGGAGTATGCCACATGTCATGACATAATAGGTCCAAGGTGGACGAATAAGCGCGTGCCACGTGGCAAGCCCTGACAGTTCCAACTGGGGGACACTTGGCAGGACCTGATTGGCCCACGTGGCGCATTCCGATTGGTGGGAGCAAAATCCCCTAATCAACTAGGGTTTGTTATTAATCCGTTTAGTATCATGCCTAGGATCTTACTAATCATGTTTTGATGGTGTTATTATGATGATGATTGTTGTGTCAATTATACATTGCTTGATTATTCATGATTTATTGTTATTGCTTGATCACGCCCTTTCTTGCAGGATTAAAGGGAATTTGTACTTGAAATCACGCCTAATAAGATAATTAATAATTTGATTTAGGCTAATATGATTTTAACTCAAGTGATCACCAGTAATGGATTTGATTGTGCATTAATAATCAACTAGCGTAGATTAAATATGCTTAGGATTAATTTGATGTATGTATGTTGATCGAAAAGCACACATGAATATCATAAGAATTAAGTAGAGGCCGATTTAGGGCGGGTTCAATCTTTTTTAGGTTAGATTCGTACCATCATCCCCGAAAATCCAGTCATGGTTTCGGACCACTATGGAGTTAGCGATCTCCGTGATCGTGAATGGGGTGTAACTTTCACACCCGTGAACGATTTACAAGTTCCTAAAACTTATTGGCGACTCTTTTATCTCTAGCTTCCTTCCCTTTGGACGCCACCATGCTTAAAAACATGATCACAGTGGGGCTCAAAGTTGAGTTTTGAAAAATTCCCTACACTATCCATGCTCATATTTTTGGACCTCATTGCTTAGGTTTAGGAAATAATTTGCTAGATTGTAAGGATTAATTTGATTGTGTAAATAATATATTTTGTAGAAAATAATTAATTAGAAAATATCAACTTAAAACTAGCTTAATTAACTAAGAAAAATCAGATTTTCTACATATATATAGGGATTTGCTAGAATGAGAAATGAGAATATAACAAAGGAATATTTTCTTTTTAAAAAATTATAAAGTGGGACATGTGTCAACTTTTAAGTGGTTTCATTTTCTCATTCTCATTCTAGCAATTCCCTATATATAATAAATCTTATCCAAAATAATAATTGAGTTTTGAAAATATTTTTGGCGCCAAAATCAAATATCATTTTGTCTCTAAAATTCAAATAGAAATAACTTACTAAAATACCCTTTTTAGAAAATAATAATAAATTAATTATTTAAAATTCGTCTAAAAAATATGGGGTATTACACACAACCACCACCTGAACGCAGCCACCTTCACCACAATTACCCAACACACCACACAAATCAAGCTCCCTCCACCCAGCTCGTAAAAACCGTCTCGCTGCCCCCGCACTACACTCCATCAGCACCGCCACACACAAATTCAACGCCTACCGCTAGCATCTTTTCACCACCATCGCTGCCTAATTTCGTCAATTCTGGCGTCTCTCAACCTCCAATTCGAAAAACAACTGCAGCAATTCGGGTGATTAAGGATTTCAATGGTTTTTAGACGGAGGGGGAATTAAGGTGGGGAAATGGTGGTTTAGGGGGAAAGGGGGACGACATCGGCGCAAGGCTTGGAGGAGGTGCGGCGCCAGCGCAGGGGAAGAGGGAGGGGGCCTGAGCGCCGACGTGGGTGGGGCAAGTTGGGGGCGGTGGGGGGCGAGGAGGATGACTGGGCTTGTGGAATCGTGGTTTTTTAAAAAATTTGTTTTAATAATTTTTTTAATTAATTAATTAATTAATGAAATAATTTAAATAAGAACCAATCAAAGACTGCAACGTGGTATATTTAAACGGAATGATAAACAGAGTTAACAGAAAATGACATGTGGTGACATTTTCGTGAAACTTATGTGTATACGGTGAATTTGAAAATTTTCGTAGGTATATGGTGAATAAAGTTAAAACTCATGGGTATTTGGTGAAAAAACCGTAAAAACAATCTTTATCACTATTAATTATAATTTTCTTAGGAGATTGTCTCTAATAAATCAGCTTAGTATAAGTATTTAACCAATCAAGGTGGGCAAGCATAGACAAGTAGAAAACATGTTTTACCATGCTACTACCATTGGATATGTACTCGTAATTGTTTGCTTCATTTAACTATTTACACTATTTATAATTCTATTTTAAGTCAAATTTGTGGTTTATAAATAATACGGAGTGATATTCTTAATCATGTGGAGTATTGGAGTATTGTAAGATTCTTTTAAATTCGTATTTTCTAATTGTATTTTATTTTATTTTTTTAATTGCTCATACTTATTGATATAAGAGTTATTTGCAAATTTTTACATGTCCGAATTGACAAAATTTGATAAAAGAAACATGCCAACTAATTTAAAGTGCATAGAGTATAACATAACAAGAATGAGTTCTATGGCTCAACCCAATATGCATGGCATATGTACTACTTTGCAATAACGACATAACAAGAATGAGCTCAACCCAATACTTCGTGATAAGGCTATGTTTAGTTTGCCTTATTATCTTTGCATAGTCCATATCTAATTTGATTTGAAGTTAATCAATCACTTTATTATCTTTGCCTATCAACCAAATACTCTGGAGTATATGATTTTATATGATCTGATTCTTTAATTTTGACTAAAATTTGATTTTCTATGTACAGTAATATATAAGAAAAACACATATCAATGAGATCGTATTAGATTTGTATAATTTATATTTTCTAAATATATACTATAATTTTCTTTTAAAAAAATACAAGATATTGAACAATAAAAAATCACATCTAATACTAAATTGTTTAAATAAGGTGAATAACGACGTTATGAATTAAACATAGGCCTTGTTTGCTTGACAATTGACTGATACGCTAATGTCTAATGGCTATCTGTTGTTCAATTGACTGGACCCTTAGCTTGACCCCGCAAATTTTAAGGTGTATCATGGTGCACCTAAAAATAGGTGCACCACGCCTATACTTTTGAACATTTAGTAAAAAAAAAAATCTGAACAATTGCAAATTTTGAACATTTAGTAAAAAAATCTAAACATCGTAAATTTTGAACATCAGGTAAAAAATCTGAACAATCGTAATGCACCACGCCTATACTTTTGAACATTTAGTAAAAAAAATCTGAACTTTTTGAACATTTTGTAAAAAAATCTGAACATCACAAAATTTGAACATTTAGTAAAAAAATCTGAACAAACGCAATGAACCACGCCTGTACTTTTTAACATTTAGTAAAAAAAAAAAAAAAATTGAACAATAGCAAATTTTGAACATGTAGTATATTAAATACAACACTATATAACAAATATCAATTTTTTAAAAGAAGTTTGTATGACTCTTAATCATTCAATAGTTTTGTAATATAAATTGAACATTTACCGCATATAAAATGAACATTTTTTTATAAAATATGAACATATAAAATTGCATGTTTATGTTCAGTTTTTGTGACGTGTTCATATTATTTTACAAATGTTCATTTTTCTAAAGTGTTCAAATTTTTTTACTAAATGATCAAAAGTGTAGACTTGATGCACCATGGACGACCCATGGTACACATAGTAACTACCATTGACTCCTAGAGCCTTGACCACCTAAGTCGTAAATGGAGCTGTGCAACACGTATACATGTATGCGGGCTGAGCAAAACTACCCGAAAAACTGAAAACCCGATTCGTAATCGTTTTAAAAATAAGGGTATCCGATCCGATAACCATAATGGTTCGGGTACCCATTCCAATAATTTGTTATCAAGTATAGTTATTGGGTATCATTTTAAATTAACGGTTACCCGATCCGATCCGATAAGCAATTTTTTGTTTTTTTTTTCCTACTTAAATCTATTTTTCCAAAATTTAAACTCTTACTTTACATCATAATCACTTTATAATATCATTGATTAATAATATTATTAATAATTTGGTCAAAATCATGTGGTAATGTGGTATTGTCGTTAATTAGTGTTAAATGATATCATAATAACTACATAATTAAGCTTAATTATCATTATTGGATATCTTATTGGGTACTTAATAACCGATCCGAAAATCCGGGTACCCAAACTTATCGATTCGGTTTATAAATATCACTAGATATTAATGATATTAGTTATCAGTTATCCGAATCGTTAATACTAACGGGGCGGGTACCCGTTGCATGCTCACCCCTCATGATTTGTACTCCCTCTGTCCCTAAATTTTTGCCTCATTGCAAATTTTGCCCCATTGCAAAAATTTGGGTCAAATTTTATAAACTTTGACCTTAAAATACTCTTATTCTATAAGTGATAAAATAAACATGTGAGATCTTGTTGGATAGTCTCATTGTACATTTTATTAATATTTAGTTTTTATAATTTTTACACGTGTGAAAATGGTGATATAACCGTTTTAAGACGCTTGTTGAATACCGCAAAAAGTCAAATAGGGCAAAAAAATTTAACGACGGAGGGAGTATCATCTTCTTAAAGAACCCTTTAGAACCTACACTCTAAACTTCAAACTACAGGCTCTCCTAAAAATTTCTTCACTATTCTCTACTCTACTAGTCTACTCAACTCTACTCATCATCTTCTGAGTCAATCAATTTTCTCATTTCAAATTAACCCTGAATTTTTGAGAGAAGAATTTAGCAAAAATGGCGGAAGAATTTTCACTGGACTTGGAAGAGCTTCACAACTTAGAAAAGGTTCTTCTTCATCTTTCTTTTTAACAAATTTCCGATGTTTATATGTTATTTGGGTTATTGTGTTTGAATTTATGATTTTTCTTTTTGAAAGAAATACAAGTAAATAAATTGTTTGTGTCTGAGTATTGTGTTTGAAATTTCAATTTCAATTTTTCATATATTTTGTCCTGATTGCTGTTTACATGTATTTAAACTACAATTGAAATGAAATTTGCTTTCAGTTTCAAAGATGAATGCAATTCAAGCTCAGATTAATTTTGAAGTTTAAATATGATTTAACAATGATGGAATCAATTCTTGCTTTTGAGGAAATCAAGAAAATGATTGTGAACTTCTCTATGCTTTTGTTCATATATTAAGATTTGTTATTGATATAATATTCAATTTTTAGTTTGTATAGATGAACAGTTTAAATGCCTTGTTACTGATTTGAAGTACTGCTAAATTTGAATGGTCAATTATAAATGATTAGTTTAGATTGTTAACCTAATGGTTAAGAACTTGTTATTTGTCAACTTACTTCAAAAACTTATTACTCCATACTTATTTTCGTCAAAATCGAACCAGACCGTAAATATTCTAATCTTATCAGTCAAGAACTATTAATATTCATTTACTTATTACTATATATCTCTAATTGCATATTGATAATTTTTTTGATAAATATACATCGTGCACATTGATTTGAATAATAAGTTCCCACATATTAATGTTTTTTCTTATACATTATTGTAAAATAGTGGTTAAAGTTTAGTCAGACTATATTAAGAGTTTCAGATTAGAAATTTAAAAATTAGACCACACCACACTGTCCTTAATAAGTTTAGACCTGAACACCTTATTGATGGCTTTTGTCATTTGGAGACATTCGTGGAGACAAGTAGAGTTGAATGAAGCATCTATTATAAATAATCTTGTAATAAAGAATGCTTTTAGATTTGATTGGGTAGATTGAAGTGACATATTTTCAGTCTTTCGGATATTAAAAGGCTTTAGATATAGAATTTTAATGCCTCTTGTACATTACTATCGGACATTCCTTCCTATAATCACTTTCTTTTTCTACAGTTTGGGATATCATATGTTACTTTTGTACGTTGCAATTTTCCTCTTACAATGTAAATGTTATCAAACTTGAGTCTTATTTCTGCTCTGGTAACTGAGTTTCACATGATGACCCAGATCAATAAGTGCTTTTCTTAACCACAGTCCGAGACAGCTTTGGTGGCTGACATGTATTCGACTTAATCAAAGAAAGTGCCAAAGTCTGCTGGTAATTAGAACACCTTGAGAATATATTTGTATATGGGAAAAAAGTATGTAGCTGTGCAAACCCAAACATTGCTATAGTAGTCAGTCAATGCTTCATTTCCTTCCACTTGATCCCTCAATTCTATTTTTCTTGTGGAATTGGATATAGACCATATTGTGTCACTCTGTCAGATCCTCTTCACAATTTTAAATGGTAGATTACTGGGTGAATTAATGGAACAAACAAAACTCCTATAGATGTTTTATTTCTAATTCACATGGATATTTTCATTAGGATATTTAAGACAGATTTCTTTTGGTTAACGAATATTATTTCCTTGGGTTTTCATTACTTGAATGCCAAGTGCTTCATGTTACTATATCTGTCATCTGCCATGGTGGAGACTATGGAGACCGCCCCATGAAAGAACAAGCATGGCTTAGTCAACACCGGCTATGGATCCTACATTGGTGGGAACCATGGATACCCGTGGCCATGGGATGTGTGCTTTGGAAGGACCTTGGGAAATAGGATGGTCTGACCATGACTATCTTAAGAGGACCATAGAAGTAGGGACTCCTTGACGGTTAACTTAGTCATTGCGGGAAGCATGCAGTTGCTAAAAGCTTGCATCATGGATTATTTACTTGTTAAATATGTTTATTGGCTTTATACTCCCTCCATTCTTATTGAAATGTTATTCAAAGATAGATTTCTTGTAAACATCATTATGTTAATATGGTATCATCTGGGCCTTTCTCTTAGTTCAAACTGTGTGCTAATCCATGTCCACACAACAATTTATAAGAACCAAATTTTGATATTTGTATAGTGTTACAGGCTGGGCAATGTTGCTTAAACTCAAGTACCCATGTCCAACATGGGTACGTGTCAAGTGTCCGACTATTTTGTGTGAAAAATTCATGATTTTGGTCAAAAATGAAGGAACAAAGTTTCCTACCTATATCCATGATTCGACATGGATACTTGATGTAATATGAAGAATCCAAGTATGCTACAGAATTCTACATATAGAATTGAGATTTGAGAATATATCTGACTATGAGTGCTTTCTTTCAGCTGTTGCAAGCATTGGCAAAGTATGGGGTATGGAGTTAAGAGTTGTGAACTTAGTTACTGCTTGTGACCATACTTGACTGTTGAAGAGTGTATATTTGTACTATCATTATCATGTATTGAAAATAGCCATTTTCTGGGTAGCTGAAGGCCAATGTGTGATTGGGCAGTAGCATTCGAAAGGTCGAATTATAAGATTGCTTTCAGGAATTCAGGGGCTATCATTATCTACTTTATGTCTTTCATCTTGATATTTTACCTTATACACAGTTTAAATGACCTTCTTGGGAAATCATGAATACAAATCTCAAATTATCTTGATAGCTAAATCATCATTTAAAGGTAATTTGCTTCATTTACTTTTGCTTCTACAGTCATTAGATCTTTGTTTTGATTCTGATTGTCTATGACATTTTTCGTGCATAGTTGTCAAAAGAAAAAGCTTCTTCTTCAGCTCCCCAGCATCATACTCCAATTCCTGTGGCGACGACAAAGGTGCCTTACTCTCCAACACAGACTTATTCTACTCTTTCATCTTTCAGCTGGGGACAGGACTATGATAAAGTAAAGGTGAGAATCTGGACTTTGTTCTCAGGGTAAAAAAATTTGATAAACCTTATGCCACCTCATAATAGCCCAGCTTTGTGCTCTTTATTTATTAGTAGTCCTAACCTAGGTCTCGTAGATGAAGAGTAATTACAAAAAAATTTCTGTTACACCTATTGATCTCTGACCAGTTACTTTCAATATATGACCCTCAAGTAGTTGACCCAGATCTTTCTAAATCTGGATACTGATATTCATATCTGCATCTTGCAGATACATCTGTCTCTAAAGGGAGTGCAAGAAGAAAAGATGGAGAAAAACATAAACCCAAATTCTATTGAGTTCAAGTTTCATGATGTTCAGGGGAAAAATTATCAATTTGCCATACCCAAATTGAGTAAAGATATTGTTTCAGACCAAACCAAGGTCAAAGTCAAGCCCACAAGGGTAATTGTACATTTGGTCAAAGCTTCGAAAGGGAAATGGCAAGATCTGCATTACAAAGAGGACAAGGTAATTTTCTGTTACTATGATGTAAATTACTCCCTCTATCCCAAAATATTAGGCCATAATTTTATGCTCCAAAATCATAGGCGACTTTCTAAAAATTTTAAGCTGACTTTTGTACTGTCTCATATTAGCCTTTTGACTTGTTTAATAGACAGTATTAACTATATCTTTGTAAATAACTTATATCATACAATTCATGGTATGTTGCTCCTTCCCTAACCATGTATGAATTAACTTTTAAGTGGTGATCAATATCCACGATAAACTTGAAATACTCAGGGGGTACACATGCTATAATCAATGTGGCATGAGACTTCCCTTGTCAAACTATATGTACACATATTACCATTATCCTCATTTTATATTGCATGCCATTTGGGCTGTGAATGATATTTTGTTGACTAAGAATCTCAAAGTACAATGGTGGTGAAAGTTTAATTCAATTTTATGAAAATGATTTCCAATCAGTTAAAGTTTTAATATTTAAGTATTGTTATGTGTGGTTTTCTTATTTATTTGGTTTTGGTTAATGCAGCTGAAGCCAAATCTAGACAAGGAAAAGGATCCTATGGCTGGCATAATGGATCTGATGAATGTATATTCTAATCTTTACATTGTTGTATATTATGGTGCTGATTAATGGGCAATCCTGCTAGCTATACTGTTGTTCTGGGCTTGATTTAGTGAGATTACAGGAATGACTTTGAATTATTTCTGAAGTTCATAGACTTTGATATTTGCATTAACATGTACTTCCTCAATTTTGCAGGATATGTATGAGGAAGGGGATGAGGAAATGAAGAAAACCATTGCTAAAGCTTGGACTGATGCAAGATCCGGGAAGACTGCCGATTCTCTGAAGGGATACCGTTGAAGATCTGTAGGCTATCAGAAAGTGCATAGGCATCAGTTAGGGGATTCTGATCCATTTTTGTCACAGTATCTGGGATTTTACTTGCATAAATTTCTAAATTGCATCCTTGGGCTCTTAGCTTAGACATACTCTGCTTTCTGGCTGTCTTTGACCTTGTTGAGGGGTTTGAATGGAACTGGGGTAGGGATTCTGCGTTGTATCTAGGCTACTTTCATAATGCTTCTTTGCCATTTCGTTCAATATGTTTGTTTGAAAGGTTTGAAACTTTGAAATGTCTTTCTCAACTTGCTCCTTATTCACCACATTCTACAGGTACAACTTTGCTAAATCGCCTTTGGCATGCATGTAATGCAAATAGAATATGTTGATACTTCATATGACATCAACATGTACATCTGTTTCTTTACTTGCAACAAAGTGAGCTGGAACAAAATTCAAGGAATAATAGATTTGTAGTCAAAACGACAAATTGTTTCATGTCTAGTGTCTACCCTGTCTCATACAACCAATGATGTGTCTTATTATTCTCGTATAATATGTCACTAATTGAAGCCCGTGCGATGCACGGTTTGTTTGAATTTCTAATCAAATATTATTTTGTATTATGTGATAAATTTGTTATTTTATTTGTTGTATGTAGTACATTATTTAATATTTTTATTGTAAAATAAATTGTGAATTTTCTCTCATTTATTATATATTTAAATAAAATTTCTAATCTCAAAATAATACTTTATACTTAATTAATTTGAACTTTAAAATCCCATTCGCTAATTTTGCTTATGTGAATTGATTTTTTTTTTTTTAGGATAAACTTTTTGGCTTGAATGTTCATTAATACGATTATGTAATGCAGGATATTTAGACATACGATATCTAATCGTTTATTTATAGAATAGTGTACTTTTTGTAGTTTTGTTTGTAAATAGATATCTATATTATTATTGACTTGAAATTATTGTTATTGAACCTTAATAATTTTTACTGAGTTGAAAGTATTTTTACCAAATTAAAATTATTTTTACTGATTTTCTATTATATTTTTAACTAAATTACATATTAATGGATCTTATAATAAAGAACTTTTTGAAACGAATTTTATGATGAAAATAAAATCGAGTTATAGAATACTGTATTTATTAAAAGTTGTGATTAATTTTGTATATATGAAATATTAGAAGTATAGTGATATAAAACTCTATACAACATTTTTATTTTATAAAATATATCCAAAAATCCGTACTTACATGGTGCAACAACACTTGGCGAAAAATTGGAGAGTCAAGTGTCATTGTCTCGTGGTCTGGCTGCGAGACCGGCTTTATTTATTAAAATGATATGATATGATATTAGATTTTGTCGTTCTTTTTTTTTTTTTTCCTTTTTTTTGACAAGGATAGAAGGCGAAAGTAGATTAGTGGACCGAACTACTTCCCAAATTTCCAATGGTTTTTTGTTTCAATCAGATTGTCATGATTTAGGAGTAGCTCCAGTGGTTTTGGCTTCTGCTCGCCATCATTAAACTAATACCTTGTCGTATTGTATCATTATAATGTTAAATATTGTAAGATTTGTTACCATCGTCCAAAGGTATATATAGCAATGGCACTAGGTGAGGCAACCCGAGGTATTGCATGGCTCATGGCTCAGCGCATAGGCGCTAAACTTCATTGCGTGATAGGGTTCTGGCTCAGGCTATGCTTGGCTGCCCTTCTGAATATTGCAACAAGTATCATTACTAGTGGGCTAAATTAGTGTCAAGCTTAGACAACTCTGGTGCACATGGACATATGTAAGTCACAACACGAAACAGAGCAATCTTTGCATCTATCTAGTTGAATTAAAAGTGTAGTGAAACGGCCAAAGAAATGAGAACTTTACCTGAATCTATAATCTCAAATACACCAAGTAAAAATCACCAAATCAAAATCATGCATAGCCTCAGGTAACATGAATGATTTCATTTTTAAAAACAGTTAACAAATAAATATTCCAACACCACAAAATCATCTCTACTGTAGTCGATAATACTTATAATCAAGTTAAATAACATAACATAACAAGGCTTTGAGCGGTAAGATTATCATCATAAAACAATCCTCAACATGCTGTAGTTCGCCTCCCCTTCCAAAGGTTGGACAGGAGACAAGCTCACGCTCCAAAACAAAAATGCAGCCTATCCTTGCAAAAATTGATGCATGAAAGCTCAAAATCTCTCTGCCAGTCGTGCAGTTACTGCTCTAAGCTTCGAATAAACCTTTCCAGCAGGTGACCCTAATATTAGGCTGCAGAGTGAGCTCCTCGCTACCTTAATGTTTGTACAAGACCCCAAAATGTGAATCTTTGAGTCTGCAATTACAATGCGAGTCCTCGTTGAATTTTCAATGGCAAACTTTGTTTTACCACCTTTACCAGAAAGCCTTCCAATAGCACGAGATTTGTGGTCACCTTTAAGTGTTTTAACATCCTTGATCTCGAATGACTCAACATAAAGTTCATCTACCCTCAAAAGGGCAATTGCATCCGTAACATCAAACCCAAGCATGAAGGCATGGACAAAATCAGCACACTTCTGCAAGTTACTTACATCAGGGGTGTCAGCCCTTGTCTTCAGCTCAACCTTGCGATCTTTAAGATTCATCCTTACGTCAATTTTCATCTGTTCGTAAATTGGGTTGTAGATTTCCAGCCACGCTTTTTTCAAGGGCGTGTAACGATGAGGAGGAACACTCACCTTTCTGAATTGTACTTGACCATCAGACATCTCATGAGCCCTCAAAGCCCCAAATTTGGGCCGTGATGGAAGAGAAGCAGATGCTGAGTTTGATGTCTCAACTTCCATGGCATTCATGTTTGTTTTTCGTTCTATTTCCACTGCTCCAGAGAAAAACTAGCAAAAAAACATATCACAACACCATTCAGTTTAATATATCGCCAACAAGTTTTGCCAAAAAAAATAATTATCATAACAAGACACAAATTGATACTCCAAATATAAAATCTATCATCAAAGCAAAAGATGGTATACAATTCCACAGTGATCCTAACTTCCTCAGCCCTCTTGAACATTTCAATATACCAATATGGTATCAACCAGCAAAAGGAGAAAAGCTCCAAGAGCATAATTTGAACAATTTTAAGCACAACAGTAACAGGACAAGCAAGCGATGTCATAGCTTTGAAGCTACTTTCTTCAATTACATATCTTGCTCATTTGATCTTAAGATAATTATATCTTCTAACTCAACCTATTTCTATTATAAACTAATTATGTTGCTACTGTACGCTTAAATAGAGCCATTATCCTAACACACATTCAATTGTCACAAGTATTCATTTGTTTCAGGAGTATCCAACTCTATATACAAGATCCCAATCCAGGAAGCGGAACTGAAGTAAAGACAAGTTGCAAGATATGAAAGGTGAATTTGAACTGACTTTCCTTATTTTAGATTTAATTCAGTTCTTGTCACAATTAAATTAGAGATAGAGTGATACTAAAACCTAGATTTATAAAATTGATATTCGATTATTTAAAAGTAATTTTCTTAAAAAAAATCTTACCTAAGGAGCTGCTTGAATGGAGGAGAGAGAGCTCAAAAGCCGCTTCAATGGAGATTTCAGAGTACGCTCTTCAGTAGGAGAAGAGGTCGGCCAAAGAGAATGTGGGAAATTACTGACTAACTATTTATATGAGGCTATAACCTAACTCGCCTAACAAAATCTCTCCTGTCCCATAATATAATTTTGGTTTGATATAAATATTGAGCATTAATAAATACGAGTAGCACTTACATACTTCTATCAACTTTCTTAATTTCCGTGAAAAAACTCAAATAGGTGCTCATTGGAAAAAAGAAAATGTTGATGAAAAATTAACACTGATTACACTAATTTACGCGTAATTTTGTCATGAATTTTCAACTTAATTTCATTTTAGGAAGTATATTTAATGCTTATACATAGTCCTTACCCTATAAAAATTATATTAAGACGAACTTAATAACATCTCACATAATCATATTTCTTTATACTCCGTACTTCATATCAATGAAATTTATCAATCAGATATCAGATTTATTGTTCGTTGTGTTTAATGTTTGACTATTAAAAAATAATGGTAATTATATAGGACGGAGGGAGTAATTTAGCCATTTTAAATTATTCACAAAAATAACTACATATCATTTTTTATTTTAAATGTATACTTCATTATTCATTATGTTTCTTCTATGAGCAACTTGAATTCTATTAATATAATTTTCATTTTTACCAAACTACATATATACAATCTTACACTTTTAGAGAATCTACACTAATATGATTTAACATTTCCACAACATTGCACATAGAAGGACGTTCCTTTTGCCTTTGGTTAGTGCACAAATTGGCAATCTTAAAAAATTCATAAACCTCATCTTCTCTCAAATCTTTCCTAGGTACACTAATGTCTAATACCTCAACATGTTTTCTTTCACCTATTTTTTTCTTAGCCCACTCCAACATCCAAATCTCACGTCCGTCCTCCCGAACAGGCAAATTAGGTCGCTTGCCTGTCGCCACCTCGAACATCAAAACTCCGAAACTGTACACATCACCTTTCACAGTAGCAGTCGGGTAACCCCCTAGGTACTCTGGAGGCATATAACCCATGGTCCCGGCGGCTTGGGTGGAAACATGGGAGTTAGCCCCTTCAATCCTCCTAGCCAAACCAAAATCGGCAATATGGGCCTCAAATTCATTATCTAATAACACATTACTAGCCTTAATATCTCTATGTACAACTGCAACATCTCGCCCATGCAAAAAGGCCAGCCCATTAGCCACCCCTTTAATAATCTTAACCCTCAAATCCCAAGACAAAGGGACCCACCAAGAATTAAACGACAATGATGACATGTCTTGTAACCACTGGTCCAAACTCCCCTTCTCGACAAATTCATAAATAAGAACTCGATCCGAACCCGACACGCAATAACCTAAAATCTTTACAATATTCCGGTGACGAAGTCTCCCCAAGGTTTCCATCTCCGCCCGAAACTCACGAAGCCCTTGGAAAGCATCCTCGCCTAGCTTCTTAACCGCGACAGTGACACCGGAGGGAAGCTTAGCTTTGTACACAAGGCCAAAACTACCATCCCCAATGATGAGCTTGGGGTCAAACCCGTTCGTAGCTTCAAAGAGCTCAAGCATGGAGAGTTGGCGAAGAGCCGGGTCAAAGGAGGTGGAGATATAGGGCGAACCATCGACGGGTGGCAACGTAGAGTGCGACACGGGGAGCTGGCTACGAGGGCGGCGGTGGCGCTTTTGTTTGCATTTAACGCATAGGATGATGAGGAGGGGGAGAGAGATTAGAATAATACAAGATAGTCCTGCAATGAAGAATACAAGACGTTGATCCATTTTGGAGGAGAAATAAAAATGGAAGCTAAGGATTAATATTGTGTGAGTGAGAATGTTTTCAATCAAAGAAGTGATTAAGTAAAACAAGGGGAGGTTCTTGGAAGGTGTTAACTTTGACTTTGGAAGTCAACAAGTCAACGGTCAGTGTTGTACCTATTGAAATGATGACAAAAGTAAGTGAGAATTTAGGGGTAGTCTTTCAATTAGACTCTTTCACTTCGTAGAATAGTATATCACATTGTAACTTGTAAATAAGCTGTACAAGTATTAGTTTGGACCATTTCTATGTTTGTTCTATGGCTTCCTAAGAGCTTCCTAAGAAAATATACGTGTAAGGATGTCTATGAGTCAATATACTTGTAGATAAGTTTGGACATAAATCATTCACTAAATAAACAAATGTGGTTGAACAAAAACTGTAATTGAAGTTCATTAATAAACAAGCCTACCTTGAGCATTTGTGTTCTTAGCTCACAAACAACTCATTAGTTTTCATTTATATGTTCATTCTAGTTTTTTTTTTTTTTTTTTTAAAGCTAATTAAAAACCTGTTCAAACTCATATTTCAAATATAAAATGGCCATTATTTCATGAAGAAAGCAATAACACAATCGTCCAATACCAAATATATTGACAGTAATAGCTAAAAGCCTAAAAGTGTCATTACTATCATACATAATACAGAATTTACCCTACAAAATAATCACCCTAATTATTATACTCCGTATACTTCGTATGCTTGAATATCCAAGAGAACATGCAAATTAATTAATTCCATCACCTACATATGTGGTTATAACATACGAAATAACATTTATAAAGGCTCTATCTATTTATCGTCCTTGTCCAAAGGGTGAAATGGAGTAATCCAATTCAATGTTGGGTTGATTCGGCTTCATTAGGTTCGATTCAATTCGAGCTCATTGTTGATTATCAGGATGAAGACACTATCTCAAAGAAGACTATATTTCAACACGACTTGTTTCATTAATTCATACCGCGATATAGCTGTTCCAATCATCTAACAATGACACAATTTAACACAATTGTTCTACTCGATTATAGGAAAACTATATCAATTAAAAGGTACTGTAAATAACAATTTGTACGGAGTATTTAAATTTATTTTGGGCCAAAATACAAGTTAAAAAATCTTGTCTAATCTCAGACATCAAAAGTAGTGAAACATCAAAATATTCACAAGCTCCCAAGCTAAAATAAAATCCTTTTAATTAGAAAAGTCAGCACAACAAAAGAAGCCCAGAAAATTCAAAACAAGCATAAAATTCAACACAAATGAATCCCTGAAAATTGAAAAACTACTAAAAATTACAAAAGCCCGGAAAATTCTACCAAAAAAGAAATGGAGGGAGTATAATGGAACTTCATTATAAAGCCAATGAACAAGTAATCATTTATCGGAGAAATCGTTCCAAAACTTGAACAATCAAGCAAATTGATAAATTTACTAATTCTTCCTACACAAAATTACAAATCTTACATCTCATACTTCTAACCTCCTCTATTTTTCCTTAAAAAATAATTCTACTGGACAAGAATAATTGCAATGTACATTTGTCTAGTGTCTACTCCAACGGATACAAGTCAGATTGCCTACAACTACAACCGTTGGCAAACCTATTCCTCCTCCTATTCACTTCTCATTTTTAGTTTTTACAACTTTAATGTGAAAATTGAAGCTACAGGTTAGATTAACAGTATGCATGATATCATTGATTAGTCAATAGCATAACTCCGTTTTCCATATTGCTACCTGGTTGCCTGACGTCACGAGACTTCTTTGGAGCGCAAACGACATTCTTAGTGATAGAGAAATACAGATCAAATTCGGATTTCAATTTTACGCAGCTTGCATCTATCCACTTCTCTGCTACACTTGTTGGTACACTATCTTGTGTGTCTCTTTCATGTTCTTCAATAGCTGGTCTTATTTCATTGTACAAAGATTCAAGATTGGAGCTTGCATCAGTTTTCATTTCCTGCACAATAAACAAACAGTGAGACAAAAAGCCCGGAAAAAAATATATATCTACAGCTAGTTATGATAACTCAAGTTTTTATAAGCTGGTATTCAGAAACAGAATATACAACTGTAATTGCTAAATTTGGAAACGTAGGTTGTGGATGCTAGCAATAAGCTGCCTTCACACTTTGGGAGTGTACTAGTCATCAGAAATTGTACAAGTAAGAAACGGCTAGAACCACTAGAAATAACCTAATAAGGAACCCAGAAGACTACTAATCACTTGCCAGATTTACAGTCATATAACCCCAAAAAGAAGGTGAAAAAAGGCTGCAAAACCATGTAATATTATCAATAAAGCCAAAGACTGAACCCACATAATGTGGTATAATAATCATTGGTAATGCAGCCCTGATAAGCAAAGCAACAGTGACAACTCAGTATACATTCACATAAGGTTGGGTAGTCAGGATGAATAGCATCCCCACTCACCCGGTCACCCCCTAACCAATTTAAATTAGTAGAAAGATTTTTTGTAAATGGCCCACAAAAGACAATTTGTTTGCAAAGGGTATGACGAAGGCAGAAGTCGTGAAATCGTACACAAAAATAAGGTAGTAGTACGTTCGATTATTGTAGCCAAAATTTTAACATATACTCCAATGGAGCATACATATGAACTACTTAAGACCTAGAAATACTGCAAAGGCACATAGGCACCTAAAGTACACTCACACAAGAAAGGTAAAAACACTTCACTTTTCACTTAACATCATAGACGGATATGATAGAAAACCATCATGAGACTAACAAAAATTAAAAGAATGTGTTAAAACTAAAGCCTATTAGACCAGTCAGACGCAGCTATTTATGAAAAAGCCAGTCAGATCTCCAATACCTCATACATCAGGATCTCTTGTTGTGCTTCTTTTGCTTCTAGAAGGGAGACAACATACTTAGCATTAAATTCCTTTTGTGCCAAATTTTTAGACTTTCCCTTGGGCACACGTTTTAGCTTCTTCTTAGGTAGAGGATAGTTTCGGGAGATGGATGCAAGACCATTTGCTGGAAGAGAAGCAAGTGGATCAATATTCAGCAGAGTAGAATCAATTATATGATCAGCATCCATCATAAATTCAATTTTGGAGGAGTTTGTACTTGTAACCGTTTGCATTGAAGCTTCATCTTCAGCTGAGTCATACAGAGGAATTTTCTCAACGGAGTATCTGTGTAAAAAAGCTGACAGGTTAATGTCTAAATACATTATTTGACACTATCATATCGCCAGAAAGGAAAAGAAAGGGAAAACAAAACCAGTAAATTACTAGCTAGAAGACATAGACCTACACAAAAAGGTAAGGACCATAATTGCAGGCCTAGGGCGGGGTTCCAATAATCAACTTTAGGTACTAATCAGTGTAAGTTTGGAATATTCCAGAAAACCTAGATTTAAAGATATGTCAGCATGAAAAATAAATTAAGAAAATTCATATGAAGTCTTTTAATGCCTATTTAAGTCCTGGAGGGCAGTAAGGAGAAAAAAGATAGCAGCAGTTGAAGAAAATGTTGAATAGAAGCTTCAAACTAAAAAGGAAAAATGAGAAACAGATCGAGCAAGATCACTGGAAAACAATTTTTTCAACTTACAGATTTTCAGATTAGATATATGCTACATTAAGGGCATGCTTGGATTGAGGGAAATGTATTACTAGTAGGGTAATAGAAGTCAAACTAAGCAAAACAAAAGTAAATAGGGAAGGAAGAGATAGTGATGGTGTGCTTGTAAGAAAAATTATATAGTGATGGTGAGGTATGAGGTGAAGAAAGAGGCTCATTATGGGGGTAATAGTTACACTAGGGGGAGGGTGTGTAACTATTACCCTCATTATGAGAGTAATAATTCCTCCATCTCTCTCTTTTCCTCATGGAACAACTACCTTATGGCATTTGTAAACACCATACCTTCTACAACACCAGCTCTAATTACTTATGTTTTTTCAACTTATATTATCCCCTTAATATATTACCCCCAATCCAAGCATGCCCTATGTAAACACCATACCTTCTACAACACCACCTCTAATTACTTATGTTTTTTCAAGTTATATTACCCCCTTAATATATTACCCCCAATCCAAGCATGCCCTAGAAAAAATGGACAGTTGAAAGCTGCACACAAGACCGGCAGTGTCTGTAATCAGATGTTACCTGTCATCATCATCTTCCCACAGATATGTGTCTTCCTGTGTGAATAAGAGAATGAAAAGATTAGCTTAATAGAGCAATATAAGAACCTTTACATATGGAAGTTATATCAATCAGAAATGCAAAGATACAAAACTGGTGATGCCCCTACACTGACATGTATTGCATCTTGCAAAAATGCATCACTACATCAGAGCATCTGCAGTGGAAAAACTTCGCCCCCTCTTATTTCAGAATAAACAGTAGAATAAACCTGTCCTATTTACGTCTAGGCATCGCCTGATATGGGTGAATTTACCAAGATAGTTTATACGGAGCCAATTTACTAGAACATTTGTGGCTAGCTGATATGAATTACATATCCTACAACAGAAAACTTGCCTATATCCATCCAAGAGATCTGAAACATCCCATTTTGTTGATATTATTTATAAACTACTGCGTTTTAAGCATTCTTTCAAAATATATCTGAAGTTCAAATACCATGAAATCAGCTTATGCTTGCGACACATGAATACTAGACAAAGGGTATAGCTCAACATTGCAATCATAACCAAATCATCACTTAATTTACCTGAAAACCACGGGATTTTGCCCCGAGAAATCCAGAACAACTAGCAGCACCACAGAGACAGCGCACCTTTGCACCACCATACCATTCAAAGTTGTAATCATATGCTAGTTCAGTTCCAACTGAAATATCGTGCTTTGCAAATATGCCAACCCTTATTTCCCCCAACACTGTCCACTTCCTTGTTTCACAATTTGGATGACTGTGAAATCAAAGTAAAAGAGACAAGGCAGTAAGAGGATTATACTTGGGTTGTACAAGTCACAAAAACATGTCTAAGTCTCACCATGAATGATTGATGAATCTAGCGAAGCTTCCCTTCCTAGTTGCATCAATAGATTCGAAGGCATTAAGAGATATAATGTATGCATCCTTGAGACCTTGACGCGAGAAAAATTCGAAGTTTTATCAAGCAACCTCCAATCAACAACAGCAGGTTTTTAAGGAACTTAAGTTCAAATTTAACAATCCAAAGATAAAAACATACCTTGGGTTTCATAAGCTTGAGCTCTACTCTTAGCTTCTTTCCATGAGATTACTTCACCACAATATTCAATGATGAGCTGTCCAGCCTGAGGGATTGAGCCAAGGAGTTAGATGAACTGAAAAATGAGATTCTGGTGGCACTTCATTGACACCAAAGTATAACAAATAACTAAAGCAAGTAAGAGAAACTGCACATACATTTAATTACATGGATTATCTACATACATTTAATTTCATGGATTAATTATACAGATATCGAGTTCCATCATAAATTCACTTTACAAAAATCAATACAGAAAGACATAATAAAAAGTGCCGGGACATCAAAAGCAATAGAGCAACCTCATTCTTAGGTAGGAACACTTTCAAGAGTTACACGCAGAAAAGGACTCACTGGTCATCAGGACCCGGTCATACAGCGTTGGTAAAGTAGCTTTAGTAAGTACCTGAGTAAGTCAAAAGTAAAATGATGGAAAGCTGTTTAAGCTTTAAAATGAGCAATACCTTAATTTCCTCATCAGCAAGAAGACCCCATCCACGACCATTGGTTGTGAATAACTTGGTTTTTGCATATTCACATTTCTGAAACTTCTGTAAAGCAAATGCATATCAGGAATTGAAAGAGGAAACAGAATTTTGTATTATGGGCATACATAGCACAGATAATTCTTTAAGAGACTTGTTAGCAATGATAAAAGCTGACTGCACAGTACCAACAAAAGAAAGTTGACTACGTAACAATTTCTAAGAAACTTTGTAAAGGGATTATAAGGGGATAAATTACAGCATCCCAGCAATGCTTTACATCATAAAATGAAACTCAAAAACTCCAATACAATGGCACCAAGGGGAAGCGTGCCCATCATTAGTGCCATTATGATTAAAAAAAAATTATCCTGCGCAGTCAGCCAGAGTATTTCCTTCCCAAGTTTTTCAAACTCTTTTTTTGTTCCAGGTGAGCGGATACGCTTATTTTAGAAGCCCAATTTGGAATGTAGAAGTAAAGATATCACAAACAAACATCCTAATGACATAATAGACGACGATGGGAAGCACAGCAAATCACCTGATTCTTACAAACTACACCACAAGGGCAATAACCAGGAGTGCACTCTGTACTGGTATGTACATTCAGACATCCATCACCACAAGCACTCTCAGGGTCACTAGGATTGAATTTGCATTCACAAATGACAATATCTTCCTCTTTCTGCTTCTTGTGCCTAAAAAACATATAAAATGTTAATGGTAAAAATTGATTGTCACAAAATAAGAGCACAAACACATGGATAATAATACCGAAAATGACGATAACAACGAGATAAGAAAACAGTAGGTACCACTACCAAATGCCTGGTCAAAGAGGATCCAATAAGTTCAAACAACAAAGTTAGCCATACAAACTACAAAGTACAATTGAAAATGCAACAATTTATCACTAATTTCACAACTGCAGAGGTCAATTTATCTCCCATTCAATCCAAATACATTATAGATAAAGAGAACATAATTCTCTGTAACAATTGCACTTTGTTGAACATGAAAATGGATGTCTATGAGTATCAAATTGAGAGGTCGCCAATAAGTGAGAATGATTAGAGAGGAATTTAAAACTTGCAACTTTAGACAAGTGATATACAAGTAAGGTTGTTAATATGCAGCTTGTAATTCTGTTCCTGTCATTACATCCTTGTTTCTTCTCCTCACAGCTTCACACCACAATAAACTAAAGATTTTTCCAATTTTCCTTAGATGAAAGACAGATATAGACCATAAAATAGTCATGAAGTGAGTGACCAACTAACAAGGGGCACCCATCACTACATAATTTAAAGGAAAATTTGTCAAAAATAAAACGACCTTTTGATTATTCCAAATAAAACGACCTTTTATAGACATCTGCCCAAAATAGAATAAAAAAGCGGTAACCTGTTTAAAAGGTTAAACCCGAACACGTGTCATACTATGATAGGTTAGGATTATTTTTACATTTTTCTTTTTTAAAAAACTAATTTTAAATTTAAAAAAAAAGAAAAAAAATATATATTTCTCTCTCCTCCCCTCCCCCTCCCCTTCAGCAATCTTCCTCCCCAACCCGCCGCAGCCACCATAACGCCGACCCATTCCCAGCCTGTCTTCCCCCCAGCCACCCCTCAAAACACCCACAACCAAGAAATTCACCCCACAACCGTCCTATAACCCATCCCGCAGCCACCCCATCCCCCTTGAAACCATCCCAAAACCCCCCTCATCCAAGCCATACAGCCCGAAACAATCCCAAAACTCCCTTCACCTACCCCACACACCCCGAAACAACCCCCTTAACCAAGCCCACAAACCCCAATTCGTAACCCCTGGCGAAAAGGGTTGGAGTGGCCATAATTTTGAGCGTGTTTCGAGGGTTTATACTTGGGTTTAAGGCAGTTTACAGGTTGGGTTTTACAGGTTAGTTTCGGGTGGCTGGGAAGAATGATAGGGCAGCAAGCGGTGAAGGTGAAAGGTGAAATAAGGGTTCGATGATATGGACAACGGTGGGGGTTAAGTTGGGTCCGGCGATGACGGGCACGGCAAGGGTGGGGATTGAGGTTCGTGGGCAGGGGGCTGGTGGTTGAGGTTTTTTTTTTTTTTTTCTCTAGTTAAAATCATTTTTACAAAAAAGAAAAATGTAAAATTATTTATTTTTAAAAAGCCACCAATTGCATTGCAACACGTGTCACTATTAACCTACTAAACAAGTTACCAACCGGTCATGTTCTATTTTGGGCAGATAACCATCAAAGGTCATTTTATTTTGGAATAATCCAAAGGTCATTTTATTTTGGGAAGTCTGCTCAAAGGTCATTTTATTTTTGACAATTTTTCCTAATTTAAACTAATTATTGTAGGAGGGAGGCAAAATGCACTTTCACAAATCATTCAAAATCCACAATACCATATTAGGTCATCACTCCAATGTCCCTAACAAGACCCTAACCTAGGATGAGGTGAGGGAATGTAAAAATGCAGCCTTAATTGCAGAAATGTTTTAATGTAAAATTCTTGATCAAAGGCAGCTAACCAAACTACTAATTCAAAGCACTCAAAAAAAATGTAAGAATGGATAGAATCCTGTGTAATAGTCAGCTAAGTTATCACTGTTCGATTCATTGTAATGAAAAGTTGAAATATTGCCATCAAAAGATATAGAATCAGCTGCAGATATAGCGAGATCACAGTCAAATCTGCGGATATATCTGCGGCAAACACAACAAATTAGAATTCTATAATAAACATTTTTATTTTCCACAAGGCTCCATGGAAATAAAAGGTTCACATGAAAGGAATGCCACGTTTGGGTGAAAGCATTTTATTTATCCATAACTCAAACAGTAAAAGCTTTTGGTTATATGTGTCCTCCAGGATCCAGTTACGGAGCCACAACAATGTGTACATGATTCCATAAGAATGCCAAATGCATCCAAAGATTCTCCTTAAAAATTCTGTTTACACAAGGGACAAGATTTGGGACAAAGGGAGTAGCATTTTCTTCTAATTCTTAGAAACATCCAATCTAGCAATTACCATTTTTCTATTATTGATAAGTACAGTTCCAGAGTCAATTTGCCTAGTGATAGATGAAAATTGGTGCTAAATATTCAATGCATTCATCAGTTAAAAACTTATACATTCTACTAACAAGCAGATTATAGTCCATACTTTTCTCTTCTAGCACATTAAACAGTTCTACAAGTGTCCCTCCTTGGCTCCTTCAATGAGGTGATACAACCCGGGATACTTGATAATGTTCATCCAAAGCATTTTAGGAGGAGAGAAGTTCAGGGTAAGATATCAAGGGGGGAGGCATACAAGGTCTTAGGTAATAGCATCTCTTAAAATTTTTTTTTTTTTTAAAAAAAAAAAGTGTAGCAAACAAGAACAAGTACAAGATGGCTAACAATAGGGTGAAGAAAACAATTGTATCAGCCAAAACTAGGGCATATTAATATTAACTGTTATACTTAAGATTGGAAAAAAAAGGAGAAAGGTACACATTTAGATTAGTGAGGGCTAGGATGTGTGGAATCATCAAACTTGATCAGGTGAGATGCATCAAAGATGAAAAGGGTACAACACTATGTGAGCTTCACATCAAGGAAATATGGCAAAGCTTCTTGATTGGCCTAAATATAGACACATCAGCCCAGATAAGAACAGTGATAGGACCTACTTTAAGTCCATTCCTTTTCACAATAATAACAAGCTTACAGAACAACAATCCAAGGGACATTACCATGGTGTGTGTTATTTTCTGATTGCAGTTTCAGTGTATGAGATTCCAAGACTAAAGAAGGTGCCAATGACAAGTTAAAAACTTGGGAGGGAAACCTTAAAATCAATGGATTTCTTGTTTTGAAGATTTAAAAGAACTTGAGTAAGTTAGAGGACATGTGGGACAAACCTTTAGATATTACTGGAGAAGATAATAAAATGAAAGTACAATATCTCAAATATTTGGGGTTAGATACTTATATAGGTAATGGAGATGGAGTTCATGGGTGTTGGGTGCCTCCTATGGAAAATGCCTAATAGGTTCTTAACCATAATAAATACCAATAAAAATCATGGGTGTTGGTCATATTATCCTCAATAGAGCACAGGCAGACTCATTATGCTCAAGCTCATGTGAGACCATGCATTAAGAGATGGAGTCAAGAATGAAAGGATAAGAGATAAGGTGGGAACAGCTTCTATAGATGAAATGATGCTATAAACAAGACTAAGACGGTATGTATAGGTTAAGAAGAGAAGAGGCAAAGTCAGACGAAGAGGGATCTAGCGTTGCTAAAGTTTACATAAAACATGCCCTATATAGAAATAAATAAAAATTAGGATTCGACCATGATATTTCCCCTTTTCTCTTGCTTTGTAAGTTGGGGGGAATGATTATGGTAAGTAAAGGTGAAAGGATTGTAAGAGAAGAGATGATAAACCCAAGAAGAATTGAAATGATAATAAGTCTACTTGTCAAAGACATAGTCCTTGATAGGAACAAATGGGATATCAAATTGATGTAGTTAATAAGAAGGAAAAAAAAAAAAAAAAAAAAAAAAAAAACACAGAAGAAAGAGATTAAGATAGTTTGGATATATTAGAAGGAGGTAGCTAGATGCCCTTACTAGGAGGATTGATAAAATCTACTTTAGGAATTGCAAGATTTATATAACTTGAAATCTTGGCAAAATACTTCTTGTTAAGTACTACACTCAGTGAATGAGTACACTTATTCAAGGACCAATAAGATAAGATCACACCAGAAACATTTGGACTTCAGAAGTTCAGATTAGAGCTCTGTATCCCCAGAAATCTGGAGTGATAACCCTTATCCAATAATAGATAATTCCAAATCCCATGCAACAGCCAATATGTCTATTCACCTCTCTAGATGGAAGCCTACCTTTTGTCCTTACTTAGGATACTGATATTTGTTGATCAAAGTTTAAAAAGCCTAAACAACTACTGAAGAAGAGAAATCACATCATCTTTATTAAAGTCCTTACTTCTCACCATACTCACATCATCTCCAAATTAACAATTGAGCTGCAGCAAAGCATACCAAATGCTTTTAACAAAGAGCACCAGTTAAAACATACTCCTTCCTTCCCTAAATATAGTTCTCAATTGGAAAATAACATGGGAATTAAGAAATGGAAGGAGGAAATACTAAAAGTACATGGGAAAACCAAATTGATAATCATGTACAAAAAAGAAGAGAGAAAAATGTACTATTTTACTATTTTCAATGAGAAAAAAATATTAAAATAAACAAGTGGAGTAATGATACACAAAGAATAAGAAAAATTAGAGGGAACTTTTGGCACTTTACCTAATAAAGACAAAAAAAAATTGATGGTAAATGGGTGATTTCCAAGTAACATTAATTGGTAAAAGAGGATATGGGAACTGTATTTAGGACCACCAAAAATAGAAATGGGAACTATATTTAGGGACGGAGGGAGTAATTACTAAATAAATTTTCCGAAAATCTCTAGACTTCTTCAACCATGTTCATTTAATAAGTAATGCCTATCAGCAACATTCTTTTCCATCTCACTATACGAGTATACAATCCTCAACCCAAAGACTAGAATCATCTTGCATTTTCCATAAGTAAACAAGTAGTGCAACACATGTGATCATAGTAGTGTTACCTGATTCATCAGTATGAGATTCAGTACAGGTTTGTAATTTACTACCCAATTAATTATATTGGACCAAAAAAAGCACCAATTCACTAGTATAATTCTCCTTTCAGTTCACGGGGGGTGGGGTAAATCAGGTAACAATTGGATCAAAGAGGATGAGGAAATTCAGATATTATTTCATTTGGTGATGTTATAGTTCAGGGTGCATTTCAGCTTTACTATCATGTGAAAAAAATATAAAGTTCAGTTGGAGAGGATTTCTTCCAATCCTACTTGTAGTCCAACAAGTTTACTCTCTTAAATAAAAGTCAAAATTGTAGGATTTGTTAATCCCCAATAAAACAATTTATTTTTAGTATAGTACTTAAGTAATTTGGAGATTGCATATCAATGTCTCACTTTACAAGTAATTACACCCTAATGAGAATAGATATTTCTGATTTTCCATCAAACTATCTCTGTCTCTCCTCCAACAAACCATTCTCTATCATGGGCCATGGCCACCACTCATAGCTAGAGCCACCGCGTTTCTGAATATGTGACAAATCTAGGCGAACATGGCTAGAAAATCAATCATTTCCTTTACATATTTTTAGTATGTAATAGCTACGTACCTTACTTACTATTTTAGCCTAACACTTATCAACCTATTAGGTAAACCATTAACAAGTGACAACTACCCCATAATAGCCAACCATTACCAACATAAATAAAAGTTAATAGCTAGTAAAACAAATAGACCGGTGAATATACCCAAGTAAGCAATAATTGTAAGTTGTCGCATTCCAAAGGCAACAAGGCATGTGGAGGTGGAGGGTGAGGTGATGGACCATGCAGTGTGGAGGTATGTAAAATGGAGAGGTGACTGAACCTTTTTTGGAACTCCTTGATCACATTGTCCATGTGGAGGTGGAGGGTGAGGTGATGGACCATGCAGTTTCTTGTCCATGGACAATGTGATCAAGGAGTTCCAAAAAAGGTTCATCCCATTCAAGGTCGAAAACCACGTAGCTTGGAATTTAATCTATTAACATGCCAAATTACAGATTCCTTTGTTCAATGAATAATCTATATAATTCATGGAACCAAACAAGAATTGCTTAATAAATGTCTAATTTACCAAATTGCGATGATACTCAACATTATGGGCCTTCATCAACATACATTTAAAGATGAATAGAATAGAGCCAAAATATCTCACTTCCTATATGAAAATTCGTTTTGATCAATGTGTATGTATCCGATTTCTTGGCAGGCCTGTCCCTGAGCCAGGGCACGATGGGAGGCCGTCCCCGGGAGAAAAGATCCATTTTCATAGTTCCGTCCTAGCATCAAAGGGTTATGAACAAAATCCTGCAATCAATATGACCCAATTATCAAATTAGGCTAGAAAAATTGCATCAGGCCCGTCCCTGAGTAAGGGCAGGAGGGGCGGCAGCCCTGGGCCCAGGGAAAAGAGCTCTGATTTCATAGTTGAATGCTAACATTAAAGTGTTGTGCAATACATTAGCAACCAAATTTGATTCAATTATCTCATAATTTTAGGGATATTTGATTCAATTATCTCATAATTTTAGGGAAATTAGATATGATGATAACAAATACAAACAACTTACCTCAGAAGCTGCTTCAATGGGGGATACAATAGCTAGATTCAACGGAGAACGGCAACTGCGCTTCAATGGAGAACGTTGATTGCGCTTCAATAGAGCAATTCAATGGGTTGGACGCCTTGGATCCCTATTAAAAGCCATGACCCATGACCCGCCACAGTTATTAATGGGTTAGATTCGTCTAATAAATAAATGGGCTGAGTAAACTTGTTTTAAAAAGTACGGAGTATTAGTTTAACTTTACACTTCCATTTCTCAAATACTATATTCACACACCAAAACTTATATAATTTGTTTGTAAGTTTTTTTTTTATTTTTATTTTGAAAACGGCTGAAATTACATTAATTAAAATGAGTTTACAACAAACGAAAGGAGAGTATGATAACATAAGTCAATTACAAGTTATCATGTCTTAAATGTGGTTAGGATGAGGTTTCATAAAAAAAAATGTGGTTAGGATGACTCTTTTGTCGTGGCCATTATGGGCAAATTAATTGTGTCATGTGAAGTGTGAACTATGCAATTGTATAGGTAGTGTTACCTTTGCGGTTTTAACATTAGCTGACGGTCACATACATTTTATTATAAATACAGTTGCAGACTAGCAAGTGTAGAATTGTATGAGTTAGTTAATTGTATGAGTTGGTTAGTGTTCTGTATAAAACAGAAAATTATTAGTGAATAACTTTAGAAGTGACCAACTTTAATACTTTTTTTTTTTTTTTTTGAAAAAAAAACCCATCTAGATCAACTGAAGAAATTTCCAAAATGCGAGGAGGGATTACATCACTCCACACCCATTGGCCAAACTCCCATGGTTGAAAGTAAGTCAATTTGTGTGCTACATTTACCCCATCGCTTTACAAAAAACCATGAATCACTAGTAAAATTAGACGGAAAAAAAAAAATCTAGAATATCCTTTATAATCAGATGAAAGGAATTGGAGCCATACAAATGCTTCCTCATTGCCTCAATCACCGCCAGAGTATCACTATCGATCCCAATGCAGCTCATACCCTTGTGTCTCGCAATCTTCATGCCCCAAAATACCGCTTTCACCTCTGCAATCTTAGTCTCTCATTTTTCACTCCACTACACCGTAGCTCTCCAAAGCACCACCCCCTCACTATTCCTGTAGACTGCACCCAGCCCCGTCCCCACCTCCCCAAAACACCAGCATCAACAATAATTTTAACCACACCAGATGCCGGAGGACGGAGACCTGCCCACAGAGACACTCTTTCCACCCCTCCATTCCCCATGTTATTCAACTTTCCCACCTTTAATCTTCAAAGCATAGGCAACAATTTTCTCAACATTCGGATTTTCACCCTCAATCATCCATTTGTTCCTTACACCGCACATAGCCCAACACATGGTAATTAAACTCACCATATCCTCTCCAAAATTACCAAAACAATGTTCCCACCAGTCATCCATACTACAAACACTAGTAGAAAAAAAGAATTAGGCAACCCCCCTATGGCAACGGTTCATGAAAACCGTTGCCAACTTGCTGTGAGCGCCATTTTAAAAAAAAATAAAAAATTTGGTTACATATTGGCAACGGTTAACCGTTGCCAATTGATAAAATTTAAAAAAAAAAATTAAAAGGGGTAGATTGGCAACGGTTAACCGTTGCCAATTTAAAAAAAAAAATTTCGGGTTTTTGAATGCAAACAGCAAGACTGTGCAAACGTTCTTCTTTCACCTCCAAAAACGCGCGCCTTCCCTTTCCCCAAACCATTCCTCCATTGAATTGAAGCTTCCATTGAAGGGGTTTGTTCTTCTGCCTCCCTCAAGCACGCACTCCCCTGTTCTTCTGCCTCCCTCAAGCACGCACTCCCCTGTTCTTCTGCTTTCACCCCTCAAGCACGCACGCACTCAGCTCTTCTCTTCTGCCTCCCTCCATATATAGCAGCTCCTCCATTATTGAAGTATGCAGCAGCTCCTCCATTGTTATAGCGCTCCTCATTGCTAGGTAAGTCGTAATAGCTCTCCTCCATTGTTATGGTTTTTGAAGAATTGGTCTGTAAATTAGTTAATATTGACAAGTTTCTTGTAATTGTTAGGGTTTGTCAAGAATTGGTCTTTTGTGTTAGCATGAATTGGGTCTGTGATGTTGGAACTTGAATAGAGTTATTTGTAGTTAGACGTTCCTTGGTATTGAAAAGATGATATACCCTTGTATCTTATTACTATAATTTGACAGATGTTTGTGATGATACCATGTCTATCAAACTGGCTTCGAATGAATTGAATGAAATTTTAGCAATGCACCAACTGCCCTCAACCTTGTTGCTGCTTTCATTGTTGAATTTCAGCCAAAGACATGGATAGAAAATAGTTGTTATTGTATTTAGTACAAGCTACATTTACCTATATTTCTAAATTGTTATGAGAACTTTATTTATCATCACTAATAAAGTTGAGAATTTTATTTTGTTTATAGGATAATTTAGTCCTTTTTATTTAAGAGAACAAAGTTGAGAGTTTAGGGTTTAGGGTTTAGGGTTGAGAGTTTAGGGTTGAGAGTTTAGGGTTTAGGGTTTAGGGTTGAGAGTTTAGGGTTTAGGGTTTAGGGTTAAGGGTTTAGCGTTAAGGGTTTAGGGTTTAGGGTTTAGGGTTAAGGGTTTAGGGTTTAGGGTTTGAATATACTTTTCTTTATGAGTTGCTTCTCACTATATATATGCGTGTTTCAGGCTAAGAAATGGGTGTCAAGGGCTTCTAGGGTAAGATCATCAGTTTGGAGAGTGGGCGGAAAACATCCTGGTATGGTATCTTACTCTGACTGTCCTTGTTCTTGCATTGCTCACTAATATCATTCTTATCTTTTCCCTTAATCTGGTTTTCTATTTGTGTTCTATATAGGTTACACTGAAAAAGATTATCAGGAATTTTTAGGCGAAGCATAGACCTTGGCATTGACCTTCTATTTGAGAGTGTTGAGCCTTTATAGGTACTCAGGTATATATATATATATATATATAACTTTATGTGCTTTAAATAAGTTCTTGGCTGCACAATTTTGTGGAGATGGTGTGTGATATAACTTTGGTGCATCTTCTATCATGATGTGTGATTAAACCATTGGTTTTTAATTGATTGCATGTATCATCATATGCCTAGATACCCGTTCAAGGCTTTCTCATTAGGAGAAAGTCTTGAATAGTCCCCGGTTGGGACTGTTCTTGAACGTTTACTCTCACTTAGGTGGTGAATGTATGTCAGTTTTTTCGATTTTAAGGAACATCTTGGCTTAGCATTTCCTGGATCACCATGTTCTCTAGGTACATATGTGGGTAAGTAATTGCCTACGTCGTGTACTTGGAGAACTGGGGGGAAATGTTGCCGGATTTTCCTTAAAATTGGAAATCTGATATACATTCACTAGTGAGAGTAAACGTTCAAGGATGGGTTAGGTTGGAGTGATAAGGACCCTTTGGAAGCATATATGCATTTTTGTATCTATATGAATGTTATATGCATGTTGTGTGTTTGAATTTGATTTGTATATATAATAGATGTAGCAATTATACATTATTCGTAATATGTTGCCATGTTTAGAGACAATTTACTTAATGGAGAGGGATCGTGGATGGATGTATGGTAGACGTGATACATTGGAATTCTTTAATGGGGTTCAAGAGTTCTGCGAGACGGCTTCATCTTATCAGCGCAGAATGGGTTTTAAGTGCCTCTATTGTCCTTGTGTTGATTGTAATAATGTGAAGGTGGTCAATAGTGTTGATATCATTAGAGATCGTGTAGTTTGTTGTGGGTTTAGGGTTAAATATCATGTGTGGATTTGGCATGGTGAAGAAGGAGAGTACAGTGGGGATGTTATTGGGTATGATGTGCATGATGATAGAAGCAATGATATCCGTGTGGACGAGGAATACAAGAATGATGAACATATTGATGATGATGGTGCTGAGGAGGGATTTGAGGATGATCATGTGGATGAGGTTGAGGATGAAGGTGTGGATGAGATGATGTGTGGTTTTGAAGGTGACGTGTTTGAGTCATTATCGGAGGCTTCTAAAAAGCCTTTGTATCCTGGGTGCAAAAAATACTCCAAACTATCAGCCGTGCTAACTCTTTTTAACATTAAGTCGAAGCATGGGTGGACGGACAGTAGTTTTACTTCCTTGTTGAGCGTGTTAAGTGAGATGTTGCCAGATGGGAATGAAATTCCTAAGTCTTACTATTACGCTAAGAAGCTCATGTGTCCATTTGGTTTGGAGTATAAGAAGATACATGCATGTCCTAATGATTGTATTCTTTACCGAAATGAATATGAAAAATTGGAGGAGTGTCCAAGATGCAAGAAGTCGCGCTACAAGCGCAAGAGTTGCAATGCTGGTACGAAGGGACCTCCTGCTAAGGTGTTGTGGTATCTTCCCATAATTCCTAGGTTTAAGCGTCTGTTCTCTTTACCAAAAGACGCTAAAAACTTGAGGTGGCATGCAGAGGGAAGAAAGAAAAACAGAATGCTGAAGCACCCAGCCGACTCCCCGCAATGGAAGAACCTTGATATGAAGTTTGGGGAATTTGGTGATGAAGTCAGAAATTTAAGGCTTGGTTTGTGCACGGACGGGATGAATCCATTTGGCACTCTTAGTACCTAGCACAACACATGGCCGGTACTTTTAGTGATCTACAATTTACCTCCTTGGTTGTGCATGAAACGGAAATATGTAATGCTTTCACTCTTGATATCGGGGCCAAGGCAACCTGGAAACGACATTGATGTGTATCTTGCGCCATTGGTTGATGATTTGAGAAAGATGTGGGATGAAGGGTTTCCGTGTTTGATGCTCATAAGAATGAGATGTTCACATTGCGTGCAGCTCTTATGTGGTCCGTTAATGATTTTCCTGCATATGGAAACTTGTCTGGGTATAAGAATAAAGGGAAAAAGGCATGTCCCATTTGTATTGATGATACGCCAAGCAGACGCCTTGATCATTCTTTCAAACAGGTGTATTTGAGGACAAGAAGGTTGCTCAGGCGCGATCACCCGTACCGTCGGCAGAAAAAGGCTTTCGATGGGACGGTGGAGGAGGGGACTGCTCCTAGGCCACTGACTGGTGAGGAGGTTTACGCTTGGGTCAAGGGTGTACGATCAGTATTTAGGAAATCTGAAAAAGCGACGGAATCAGTTGATCTCTTTAAAAAAGAATCAATCTTTTGGTTGCTCCCGTACTGGAAAGAACATGACGTTAGGCACTGTCTTGATGTAATGCATATAGAGAAGAATGTGTGTGACGCTCTTGTGGGAACGCTGATGAATATTCAAAACAAGACAAAGGACGGAAAGGGTACACGTTTAGATTTGGAAAAGATGGGGGTGCGTCCAGAATTGTGGGTTCAGCAAAGGGTTAGTAAGGGAAAGGAACAGGATAAGGAAAAATAAATGGGTTCGAAAAAGGGAAAGGGGAAGAGCAAGGGAAAGGGAAAGGCCGCGGATGCGTCGAAGAAGAAAAATGAGGGAAATGCCAAAGAGGGGAAAGCCTATTTACCTCTGGCTTGCTACACATTGTCAAGGGTAGAAAAACGGAGGTTTTGTGAATGTTTGTATGGCATTAAGGTTCCATTAGAGTACGCATCTAACATGAAAAGATTTGTATCCTTAAATGGAGAATTGAAGCTGACAAGTATGAAATCCCATGATTGTCATGTTCTGATGCAAGTTTTTCTACCAATTGCAATACGTGGTATTTTGCCAAAGCACGTGAGGGAAGTTATTACAAGCCTCTGTTCGCTTTTCAATACAATATGTAGCAAAGTGCTTGATCCTTGTACCCTTGATGCTTTACAGGCGGATGTGGTTGTGACTTTGTGCAAATTTGAGATGTACTTCCCGCCCTCGTTTTTCGACATAATGGTGCATTTGATTCTTCATTTGGTGCGTGAGATTAAGTTGTGCGGTCCAGTGTTCTTGAGGTGGTGCTATCCTTTTGAAAGACACATGGGTACATTGCAAGATAAAGTTAGGAATCGGGCTCACCCAGAAGGAAGTATGATTCAAGGGACCGTGGCCGAGGAGATTGGTAATTTTGTGGCCGACTATATAGCCGTTGCTGAACCTATTGGTATTCCTACTTCTCGACATGAAGGTAGACTTGATGGTCATGGCACAATCGGGTCGAAACGAATGTCACCTGATCGAGAGAAGTTCTTACAAGCACACCTATATGTGTTGCACCATGTTGCAGATGTTCACCCATATTTAGACGAGCACATGGCTAGTTTGCGTGATGAGTTTCCGTCGAAAGGTGAAAGGGCACTGATGCAGTTGCACAATAAGAAGTTTGTGAGTTGGTTTCGTGATCGAGTGATGGATGGAATGGATGAGAGTGTCACAGCTACAGTAAGGTGGCTTGCTTATGGTCCTAGGGATGATGTTCGCTCATTTGAGGGATATGACATAAATGGGTTCACATTTTGGA